CGGAGTTAAACCACGACACTAAGAAGCAAGATGTGCTGAAGTGCTGCATGTATCACTGTGATGTGGTTGTTACCAACTTGGCAATCCTTAAAACCTAAATTACGGCAAAATATGGATTCTGATCGTATTCGGGTTTTTGTTGATGAGTATTTGAATTTTGAACCCAACAAAAACATTAAAAATAAGTAACTTGGCAAGTAATTTGTATGAACATGCTAGTGGACAGTGCAGCTTCTAATTGCACATGGTTATACCTGGATTTGAGGTCATGTTTGGACGAGAAGTAAGAACAGTGAAAAAGTATGTGATTTTTAAACAAATAGGGTGTTGTAAAAAGATAGTCTGAAAAATGTGGTTTACTCTTGCTTGTAACCTTTTACAGGTTTGATGTCTTTGAAGTTTTTAAATGAATATGACATGTGGCATCGTGTAAGGTTTGTTTGCGGATAATTTAATTATTTAACATAAATAATTTATTTTACCTGTAGAGCAACGCTGGCTGACATTGAAGCACATTATCAGAACCCAACACTACCTTATCCTAAGGAAGACAACACTCTCTTGTATGAAATCACAGCTTACCTGGAAGCAGCTGGCATTCACAATCCATTAAATAAGGTCAGACTTATATTCCAGTGCTTGGTGCGGTTTGCTTTTTCTGTTTTATTGATTATTAACTGAGGAAAAAAAAATAATATGTGGAAGAACTGTGTTCCTCTTTTTTTTTTCCTCCTCAGATCTACATAACAACAAAACGTCTGCCATATTTTCCCACTGTCAACTTCCTATTTCTCATTTCCCAGTTTCCGAAACTTCAGTACAACAGAAATTTAGGTACCGTATAAGTTGTTGCTTCTCTAAATCTAGTGAAAACCTATGTGACATTGCCAGTGGAGAAGACAGTAACATTATCTGCATGGAAAATACTCGGCATCTGAATTGAGTCATAGAAGCACAGAATGGTTTGGGTTGGAAGGGCCCTTAAGGATCATCTAGTTCCAACCCCCCTGCCATGGGCAGGGACACCTTCCACTAGACCAGGTTGCTCAAAACCTCATCCAGCCTGGCCTTGAACACTTCCAGGGATGGGGCATCCACAGCTTCTCTGGGCAACCTGTTCCAGTGCCTCACCACCTTCTCTGTGAAGAATTTCTTCTTGATATCTAATCTAAGCCTCCCCACTTTCAATTAAATGTGTTACCCCTTGTCCTGTCACTACAGGCCCTTGTAAAAAGTCCCCCCCAGCTTCCTTGTAGCCCCTTCAGGTACTGGAAGGCTGTCCATCATGTCCAGGCAGTTTTGTTATAATATTGAGGCCACTGGAGTAGGAAACAGAATCCAAACTCCTGACTTTGTCATTCCATCCTGTGCCTCAGTTAATATCATTAAGCCATTTTCTATGGAAGTAATACAGTTGTTACGTTAGTTGTTAATTCTCATGTGTGGGCAAGCTGAGGGGGAAGCACAGCAAGAAACCCTCATGACAGTACGTTACGTATGCTTGCTTCTGCTATAAAGAATATGTCCCATTTTATAAACTTGTGTTGTTCTGGGTGTTTCCTCTGGGCAGGAGTGGTGTGCAAGCGGCCGGCTGATCAAATTGACTGGCTTCCTTTAGTCCTGGGACTCCTTACCCTGCTGAAACAGTTTCACTCCAGATACACAGAACAGTTCCTGGCCCTGATCGGTCAGTTCATTCGTTCAGCGATGGAACAGTGCACGAGGTATCCACGTTTCCCTTTTTCCCCAAGTATCACTCTCTGAGGAGGGCTTCAGCAGAGTTATCGCTGCTCTTTCTGTGTGTTTCTCTAGCAGAGTATGTTGGACGTAATAATGACAGTATATTTGACTAAATACACAATCAAAATACTGTTTCTTCTTATAATGGGATCAGATGGTACCTGATGGAAACAGTGTTAGTTGAAGGCTGGCGGTTTTGTGTAATTTTATCCAAATAACTGCTTGGCTGGTAAGAGCATGTTCCTCACGGCGGTTTGATTTTTAGCCAGAAGATACCAGAAATGCCTGCTGATGTAGTGGGTGCCCTCATGTTCCTGGAAGATTACATTCGCTACACGAAGTTACCCAGAAAGGTAAGAGAGAATTCCACGTCTCCCGTACGTAGGCCTGAGCGGGAGTGCTGTTCAGGTGAGCTAGAGCTTGGCTTACGCCGTGGTGACCTACCCGCCGTTTTGTCACGCGCATCTGCTCTGGGACACGGCATCGTCTGCAAACAAACGTCCGAAATAACGGACTGGTTAACGTCATCCAAAAAGCAGAATTGACCCTTTTTGCATGTTCTGTAAAAGATTTGCCAAAAGGAAATAGAGATGAAAAACCTGTTACCTGGTAGGAGTGGGCCACAATGAGTTCTTTTACCCTGCACAAACTACAAATTGTGCTACCTGTGTACTTCCTGTAACTATTCTTACACCAGTCCATAGTATGCTTATGGAAAACCTGTTTTCTAGAAAACAGAGGATACAACACACCGAAAGGATTTCAGCTTTGTGTGGGTTTAAGAAGAATCTGTGCCGTTTAATCTTCAGAAAGCACATACATTGCTGGGGGCTTTTGGGAAAGGGAAGAAATAAAATAGAAGTTCTGAGATGTCTCAGATATAAGTAATAATAAACTTAGCAGTTTGCAGGGCAAAAAGTGAATTGGCAAGTCTAAATGTGGGTGAAATACCACCTCCAGCCCGTGGGTTTCCTTCCCTTCTTGCCAACGCATGGCTTCCCAGGCAGCTGCTTTATTTCCCGTGCAGGGGAAGTTCTGAAAGTCTGGGCTTGTAGAGAAACTTTATTTTAGGGTTAAATGCAACTAATCTGCATTTGAAGATGATACATGATTTGTACGTGGTATTAAAAGTAAGTCATAATCCCGTTTGCTGTTTGCTGTCCCTCTCTGATTCCCAGCTAATACTCACAACTGAAAGAGAGGAGATTTTTCCCGTTTCCCTCTTCTTCCCAGCCCCCGGCGCAGTAGGACGTCCCGGTGCCCTGTGGCCCGGGCAATTCCTCGCAGCCCAGGGCTTGCTCGCCTGCCCAACGGCATGTTCCTTCCTCGCGTCATCACCAAGCGAGAACACGTCCAGGAGCTCGTCCTAAAGCCGGGCTGGTGCAGGTCAACCGTGTTTTCCGCTTGATTCGGTGATGGTTAACGGACTAATAGAGCACACAAACGAGTAATGAAAAAAACACCTAACTCTGCCTCCCTGCTTACTTTAGGTTGTCGAAGCACACGTGCCTAGCTTCATTTTTGATGAATTCAGAACTGTTCTGTGAATATGGAGAAGGACCAAGCCTTTCCCCCAGACCCGAAATGGGGAGTTGGGATGAAGGATGAGACATGTACGACTGTATCTTGTCTGTGCTTCGAGGCAGTACCTGTGGCTGTCTCTGTGAAAGGTAACCATGGGCGCCGGTCTGTATAATTAATGCTTGGTTCAGGCCTGGCACGACGCGCCGTTTGTACCGTGCGCATTTCGTACTGCGCATCATACATGCTGTATGTCATGGCTGATGTATAAAGCATTTAGTTTTTTGTTCTGAAGAACTATTTCTGGAACGTTGACTTTTGTATCACAAATGAACAAGGAAACTGGAAATAAAGGTGTTGGATAGTTTGCTGGGGATGATGATTCCAAAGTGTCCATTTTCCTGTTAGAAGAACCATTAGTGAGAATGAATATACAGCAGAAAGAGGTTTGGTGTCTGCCTCCGTGCTACAGAAAGTTCATTTTCCTTTACAAAGGACAGAAAATAATGAAATATCCACAGCTGAAAGGTCCTGTCATGCACAGCTATTTCTTCCAGTGCAGCTGCAACAGGGCTGGTGTTGGGGACAAGATGTTTATTCACATCACTTTAGGTCTGGGAGTGAAACCTTTTACACCTGGCATCACTTTCTTGCTTGGGCCTGCTGTGGGAAAGCCAGTGGGGGATGTTATTCTGTCACTGGTGATTATCACACCGGAAAAGAGGAGCTGAAGGGAAAGAAGGAATGGAAGTATCCATGGGTTGAAGGCCAATCGTATGAGGTTCAACAAGGCCAAGGGCCGGGCCCTGCACTCGGGTCACAACAACCCGAGTAACAGGTAACACTACAGGCTTGGGGACGAGTGGCTGGAAAGCTGCTGGGTGGAAAAGGACCTGGGGGTGCTGGTTGACAGAAATATGTGAATTTACTCCTCTGGGTTTGACGTGCCAATGCTCATGTCACCCAGCGTGTTGGGGAAGGGCAGAGCACAACGCCAGAGCCAATCAATGGGGTCAGGCTGATGGTGCTGCTTCCGGATAGCCCGTCCCCTCATGCTCTGCTGCCCGACGGCAAAGCTCCCGCTAAGCGGGCCGCAAAAAACACGGGCACCGAGGTGTTGATGGCATCTGCAGATGGATGTGAAGCCAGGGCATCCCACGTACCCAGAGGCCCCTTGGGACCCAGCGCAGTGGGGTGCTGGCTGCGAGGTGCTCAAAGTGAACGTCCCTTGGCAGCCCGGAGGGCAGCTCCGACGAGAGCAGGCGCGCAGCCGGAGGCTGAACGGCTCCGTGCAGGGGCGGTGATCAGGGATGGACAACACTGCACTCGTTCTCAGCTGGCTTCTGGTCCAATTTTATGGGCTTTTTATTACATTCATAAATTAAATTCTAGAAGAATGTGAGCAGGGGGGCACTGCCAGCACTGTTACTGTTTCTCAGTGTTTTTACATGTCAGAGACTGAAAGCCTTGGGAGAAAATCTGCCAGAAAAAGAAGCGGGACTGAGCTCCTCGGCAGAGACTGAGCTCCTCGGCGGTGCCTGTTTAGCTGATCCCCGTCTGGGCAGGGCCCTTCCTGTCCCCGCTGGTTTGCAGTTCAGCAGAGTCCCCGTCAGGGCTGCCCAGTCCGTCCTGCTGGCACCGGCTGCTCCGGGCCATGGCCAGTCGGGTCTGGAGTATCTCCAGGGGTGGAGACTCCGCAACCCCTCCGGGTCACCTGCCCAGGCGTTTGACCACCTGAACAGGGATGAAAGCTTTTTCTTACATTTAAACAGAATTTCCTGTGTCAGTTCATGCAGGTGGCCTCTCGTCCTGTCACTGAGCTCCATCCTCTTCAGTCCCTCCATGGACATTCATTCACATCAGTGAGATCCCCCTGAGGCTGCTCGGCACAGGGTCCTCCCCAGGCTGCAGGCGGGTCTCTCCTTCCCCCACGGAAGGGACCCACGCTGGAGTGCACTGTGAAGTGCTGCAGCCCGTGGGAGGGACCCACGCTGGAGCAGGGGCAGAGTGTGGGGAGCCCTCCCCTGAAGATGGGGTGGTGGAGACAAGGTGTGGTGAAGCCCCGCTCCGTGAGCAC